TACAACGTCGTTGCCAAGCGACGAAAACCCAACCCCGATGGCAAACACCGGGAAGCCGGAGGGGGGTTACTATTGCTTGAATGGACGTTCCTGACGGGGGGGCGGGGAGTCAAGCATGAGCCCGTGGTCCGATGGCCGCTGCAAGTCCTGGAGGATGTTCGCCGTTTGTTGGGTTTCGACAGCAACAACAATAATGACGACAACGACAACAACAAGCGTACCATCTCCGCCTGCTGGATGTTCGCCATTTTGCGGAGGTTCGACGACAGCACCACCACCAACAACAAGCGTACCGTTTCCATCTGCTGGTTAACCCTTACGCACTCCTCGTGGTCCCCCTTCCGACTGTGGAGGAACATGAGCACCCCGTACGTCATGCGGTCCATTTGCAGCCCCTCCGCCTTCATGCGGTCCAGAAGTTCAAGTGCAACATCGGGCTGCTGCCCCCTGCAGCAGCAGCAGCATCGGTTCGGAGGAGGGCGCACGCAGACAGGGAGGATGCGGGGCGACGGGATGATCGTACAGAGGCATTCTCTAGCTCGGCCGAGTCTGTCGATTCTGCCACTTCTCTCGGAAAATGGCACCAACACAACCGCGATTTTGGAAAATCGCTGACCCTACATGTAAAAAATTCGCCTCTAAAAATCCCGTGAGACAAGATGACACAGCAGTTGACGACAATCTTGTCTTGCACCACGAGGGAAAAAAAAAAAAAATACTGTACCGGACTCTTTTATCTGTCGATGGATATTATTTCGTCGTATTTCTGTCTTGGAACAAAAAAACAGTGCGCTCGGAAACAGGGAGACTGTTGTCACGCAAATGAAGTGGGCGAGACGGTACCCTGTCCCCACCCTTTCCCCTCGAAGTAAAACTGCCACAGAGCAATGGAACTCCTTCCTGCCGGCACGACGACGAGAAAAACGCCTCTCGCACAAAATCAGTTGTTACATGAAAAAAATAACAAAAGCACGTGCGTCGGAAACAGGGAGATTGATTGGCACGCAAATGAAGTGGGCGAGACGGCACCCTGTACCCACCCTCTCTCCCTTAAGAAGGGCAAAATGGTACAGAGAGCGGTGGAACTCCTCCTCGCACGAGAAGAGAAACGCCTCTCGCACATAAGTCAATCCAAGAAAGCACGAGAGAGCCGCGGAACT